ATGGATGGATGGATGGATGGATTTGCAAAAAAATCCATGAAAATCCAAACATCAGAATATGTTTCAATAATAGTATTAAAAAAATCTTTAGAACCAAATGGCTATGAGAAATGATCACAAAGCAGTAAATGTACATGTGACTGACGGATGAACACCCTGACTGAGGCTGCCCTTCCATTTCCTGTTTTACTTGATGTAATCTATCACTATGAAAGGAAGAAAATGACCTGAATGCTACTGCCTGGCCTGTGGTAATAATTCATTAGATGCATGACAGACAGGACACCCAAGACAATGAATGAGGCCGACTGCAGGAGGGGGCATGTGGAGGCAGGTGCATGGGCACAGGGCCGAATGATGAGAAGTGTCAGTGAAATGCCACAAGCCTAAATTAAAAAGTCCAGCGGTGGGCTAGACTGTTGCCTTCATGCCATGTAAGCTAGAAGCTGTTTCAGAAGACATGGAAAGCCATATAGGTTTCTATATTGACATGTAATGCCCTATCAGTTATTATGTTTATGTATTGCTGCACTTGCCTGTTTAATCCACACATTGGTTGTCATAAACTGGTTCTTCTCATCCTAGAATTGGGAAATAAAACAAAAAATATAGTTTTACAAATGTCTTTCATCTTTAAATACCAATTGTTTCATGGACATTCTTTTTAAATTATAATGACAATATATTATCCTTTAATGACCAAAGATCTATTTAGATATTCAGAACAATTAAGTAATTAGAGCACATTTATCCTCACCACATCAACTAGCTGGGAGATAGCCAGCCCAAACTTCACACAGATGGTGTGGTTTAAGTATTCCACCGGACGAACCCATTTCTGGTAGTTTCCAAAGAGGTATTTGAACAGCTTGTCCTCTGCTTTTGCATAGGAAGACAGTTTTGGAACCCCTAGAAAGTGTTAAAAGACAAATAATAAAAATATAAAGAGCCAAACATAAAGTACGACAAAGATCTCTCAGTGAACAAAACCTGTGAAATCCAGTTTAAAATTCATATATATGTATATATATATAGTAAATTAAACAAATGGCATTGTTCATGCATGTAAACCAGTCAAATAATAAGATCTGTTTATAGGTAGAGAACATAAAGGTAAATCTGTGGTAAAAAATGACCTCTTGTGTCACTTTTGCTGCATGGATCAATGAAAAAAGGACTTCAACCCCTGAATCAATGACCATGCAATCAGCAAATTCATTGTCTCTTTGTCTTCTACGCTGTCACCAGATGCCTCCTTAGCCAAAAAAGACAGCTCTATAATCCGATGTTACTGTATCTACCTTACTGCCTGCTAATTCACCAGCATGCAAATGGAATGTAAGCAAGTCAGAACTGCAGGTATGTAAACAATGTACAAATCCAGATCCAACCACTGCCCAGGAAACTTCCTTAGTATAGGCACAGGTACAGTATACAGGCTCTTGTCAGGCAGACCACATTGTTTGCACATGGTTCAACACGAGCACTGTTAAACATCAGCTACTGTCAATAGAATCCTTACTTGATATTGGAAGATGTATAAATCATATGCTGCCTTGCTTGGCAACAAGATATCTCAATGGCAGAGTGGAAGAAAACTCAAAAGGCTAATCCCTGTGAATCATGCAAATTACTGTGTTAAAACTATAGAAATACTCCATGCTTACAGCTTTTGTTTGCAGTCCTGAACACCCTCAGCTTAATCACCAGGAAAGGAGGCAAAAGGAGGAAAACTGCATCTGGAGTGAAGTAAGTGTCAGCCAGCTACTGGACATGGCTGACATGAAGCCATAAACCAGAATGAAGTAACACACTGGTCACGTCATCCAACTCATCCAGATAAAAGGAAGGACGTTGGCCATTCAGAAATGATTAAAAGATTCAAGATGCCAGGATTTAAGGGTTTGATCCAACACAACTGTGACTTATTTACAGGAGATAGTTTAACAAGGTTTTAGATTAATTGCATCATCAATTCTGTTCGTAACAGTGAACATCCAAGCAACTACTGGTTTGACACTTCAAAACTTCCTTAAATGTGATGCCATAGACAGTTGCTACTTGTTCACAACGATGAAAATCTTCTTTCACTCGCTGAAAATTTGCGCTTGCCTGCCTTCTCTTTTATGCACAAGAGTCCAGTTTATCCTTGACTGAGCAGTTTCTGCACCAATCTGATCGAAGAATAACATTAAGCATGCCTTTTTTGTGAAAGCACTCACGTGCTGGGTGGCACAGGTGGGAGCAGCTCAGCAATGGCAGTAGCAGTGGCAGCATGAGAGAGGTGGACGCCCTCCCTGCTCTCAGCATCGTATCAGAGTTGGCACTGGATACACACAGGTGACACCTCAGACATCTCAGAGCTGTAAAATATCAAAAAGAGTGTTCTTTCAAAAGCATCATTTCTTGTGTCTACTAAGAAAAGCTATTAGGATGATTACACCTTGGATTTAAGGTTAATTTGATCACCCTTGCTCAGTAAAGCAAGTAAGCATCATTTACACTTGAGAGATAGTCGTACTGATAACACATATTTAACACAAAACGACACCCTGCACGAGCTAAGAATGCCCTCCACCTTCACCTTGCTAACATGACCCTCTCAGAGGTATCAATGCAGTCCACATACGAGCATGCAAACGGCGGAAATAACATACCGGCTCAGATTCTCTCCCATTAACACAGAAACCAGTGTGGAAGCGGCTGAGGCGTGGAGAGTCTTGACAACAGCGACGGTGCTGCTCTAGAGCTCCTCCATTCCAGGCAGGTTCCTTTTTTCTCGCCTCTCACAGACGTTGCTACACTCCCCGCTGCCTCCAATTGTGCACAAGCAACGCACCCTTCTCTCCACCTCCTCCTCCCCTGCAGAGTCCAGCGCATCCCTCTCTTTCTCTGAGCAATCCAGTGAATTATCATCACAGGCGGGAACATGCAATCCCCCCCCCCCCCCCCCCCCCCCCCCCCCCCCCCCCCCCCCCCCCCCCCCCCCCCCCCCCACCCCCCCCCCAAACCCCCCCCCCCCCCCCCCCCCCCACACACACACACACACACACCCCACCGTCATGCAACACCTCACAGCCTACAGCAACAAGCTCTGACCTGCTTCACATGCCCATTACTACAGCTACACAACCCTGCCTGTGTACACGTATGTCAGTCCTACAGATTGATTACTTCTTTGTCTTTTGATTGACATATTTTTTGTATGATTATTTTGTTTTCAACTTGGTATTGTGAAAAGATTATAGTTACCAAGCCTAAAATGCATATCTAGTTCATTTAGATCATATAATCTAATTGATATTAGCTTTACCAATTATGCAAAATCAAAATAAATCAAGTTTTATTTTTTCATCAAGCTATAAAAAATCATACTGGTGCATAACAAGATAGAGTTTTGTGTATTTTGCATTCAAGCAAAATGCAAGAAAAATACATTTATGTACTTTTCCTGTATTTATCTTAATGTGCATTAAGATAAATGCATCTGTTATCATCTAACCTGTATACATAGAACGGAACTTTAGTTTTACTTTGCATGTCTACTTTCGAATGAAAAGAGACAATGAAAATACTTTCCTTTGCTGCCACTATACAAATACGTTCATCTTTTCGGGGAGACGGAAAACTAGAGAAGAGGTTTAAAAAGCGGTTCTTCTGGAGTCACTCTAAGGCAGTTTATCTAAACAGACCATTATGCGGTCACTCTGCTCTGGACACTGCTCTGGACCTGGAGATCCCGGGACACCCGTGCAATTCACAGGCTGCAATGGAACATAAACCTTCACTTAGTTTGTCATATTGCTGTCCCTGTTCAATCCTCGGTTCCACAGCTGTTCGTCCTCCCCCTTCTCTAAGAGACAGAAATCCGGAAAAGGAGTGCCTGCAGATGGGCTTCCTGTGGACGCTCGCAACCCAGCAAAGACCGACACACGCAACGGCCATAGGATACTTCGAGTTTTTTGACAGAAGAAATAAACGCCGAGCAGCGTAAGTAGGAATGTTTTTTCTACTGTTACTACTCAGTGCGCACACGGTTCAAAACACTGACGGATTACTCTAGTGAACCACTGGGTAGCAGGAGCTGGAATGCTGGCATGTATAGTTTTAGATTGAACGTATGCCTTGTAAAATTCATGTTGTGATCATTGCTGATACTTGCATCACGATCATAATCTCCTGGTTCCACCCTTCTTGAGTTGCAGAATGCAAAACATGGTTGCAGGAAAATGTAAATACTAAAGGAAGTCTGAGTCATACAACATTTGAACCTTTTGAAACATTTAGTTTACAAAAGTTAAATAGTTAGGAATTGTTCCCTCTTTCATTTAATGTCAAATCATTTTGAAATAATAACTTCCACTGCTATTTAAAAAAAGAAACCTTTTCTTTATTTAGGGAGGTGTTTAGGAGTTTCTGTCATTTCAGATGAGGCTGCTGTGCTGCTGTTGTGCTTTGCTGCTGCTCCTCTTTTTTCCCAGAAAATGTGAAGGAGGAAACATCTTGGTCTTTCCAACTGAAGGGAGCCACTGGCTAAACATGGAAATACTGCTTAAAGCTTTACACTCAAGGGGGCACAATATAACAATTGTGCGTTCCAGCAAAAGCTGGTACATCAAGGAGAATTCCTTTTTTTTCAAAACTTTCACAGTTCCTGTGGAAAGAGCCCCAGATAAGAAGTTTCTCACAAAAATCATATCGGATATCATAGAGTTTGACCGAGGGACGGGCCCCTTAATGACTTTCCTCCAGGCAACTGTAGGCATGTTTACTACCTTTGTTGAAATACACTCAGCTGTGGGGGAATTTGTCTCTGCCATACTGGACGATAAAGAGTTGGTGAGAAGCTTGAGGGAGAGCAAGTTTGACCTAATGCTCACTGACCCCTGCTGGGCAGGTGGAGTGATTTTGGCCAAATACCTGAACCTTCCTTTGGTTTATAATGTTCGCTGGATCGTTACTACAGAGGCTCATTTTGCCATTGCTCCTTCTCCAATATCCTATATTCCTTTAACAGGATCCGGCTGCACTGATAAGATGACAATTTTTCAGCGGGTCAAAAATTTGATAATATATTTGTTTGTCCAAATGTATGATATTTTGGCAACTAAACATATATACCAGCCATTATGTGACAAATATCTCGGATCTGATTATGACTTTGAACAGATAAAGATCGATGCAGATATGTGGCTCATGAGAGTGGACTTTGTCTTCGACTATCCTCGCCCCACGATGCCTAATGTTGTGTACATGGGAGGGTTCCAGTGTAAACCTGCTGAAGCTCTTCCTGAACATTTGGAGGAGTTTGTGCAGAGCTCTGGACAGCATGGCGTCATCATCATGTCTCTGGGAACTTTTGTGAATGAACTTCCTGATGACATGGCAAATGGAATTGCTGCAACTTTTGCTAAGTTGCCACAAAAAGTCATCTGGAGCTACAAAGGAAGGAGACCTTCCACTCTGGGAAACAACACTTTAGTGGTGGACTGGATGCCCCAGAATGACCTCTTAGGCCATCCCAAAGTAAAATTATTTGTTGCTCATGGAGGGACCAATGGAGTCCAGGAGGCCATTTATCACGGAGTCCCAGTTGTGGGTATTCCTTTATTTTTTGACCAGTATGACAACCTGCTCCGTCTGGAAGAGAGAGGAGCAGCTAAGATTCTCACAGTGGACACAGTGGACAAAGATGACAACTTCCTGGAGGCCATACAAGCTGTCCTGAATGAGCCATCTTACAGGATGAACATGCAGAGACTCTCCAGGCTGCACAGAGACAAACCGATGATGCCGATGGATAGCGCCCTCTTCTGGATAGA